TTGTACGATTAAAATGTTACAATTTGGATTTGAAATTTGATCATTTTGCCATCTGTGAAGCAATGAGATAAGGAAGTAGTATTAGTAGTACAGTGTAACCCGGATATAAGAGACACGGATATAAGAGAAACCCGGATATAAGAGAGATTTTCTCTGGTCCCAAATTAGAGCCTGTGTTAATGTATATAAAATAGACCAAACCCGGATATAAGAGACTTCGTCTCCGGTCCCGACAACTCTCTCATATCCGGGTTACACTGTAATATATTCGGAATTATGGAGAACGATTTAGTGAAGAAGGATATCGAAAGAGCAGAACAAGAACAGGCTTCAAGAAGAAATTTCGGTACCTCTTGATAAGGATATTCGGCCGAAACATGCCAAAATACACAGGAACAAAAACCTAACAGGGTAAATTTGAGAAATGTAGCAAACAGACGTTCAAGTTTTTTTTTTTTTTTTTTTACATTCATATTTTTATATAGATGGCTGAAAGATACTTGACATCATTAAGAGAGCGCAGATGGCAGCGATGCTTGGAACAGCTCATGTGCTTAGGGTGTGTCTCTAAGCTGGTAGAATCGACGCGGTAGAATCGACGCGGTAGAAGTGTCTCTGCAGGTAGAATCTATAATAATACTACTACTACTAATAATAATAATAACAAAAACTCGAAAGACCCGAGGAATTTGCACAGATTTCCTATTTTAATATTCTGATGAATCATAATTCTTAAGTTAATGATTGAGTAAGTAAAAGCGAATTCTTTGACAATAAAATATCTGTAGAAATTCCGCTATAATTTCCTTAAATACTTGAGCTTAACAACTTTAACAAAATATTACAAGAACAAACATAAATATGAATGCGGTTCGTTATTTAAAGAAGTAAGGGGGTACAAATGAAAAGTGTAACAGCAAGGTTTTAGAGAAAATGGAAACAAAACAAAAGAGACAGTTGAAACTTCTGGGGGACATCATAGATAAGGAAAGCTTGGAGAAAGTGACACTCAAAGTACAGATTGAAGGCAAGAAGGACCCATAACATATATAATGAGGAAAGAGGGTTTGGAAAATCTGATACTCACAGGGCAGATTGAAGGCAAGAGGAGCAGAGGAAAACAACGCATAACATACTTAGTTTTAGATAGCGGGACAGGGTTTAAATAACAAAGAATGTATTTAGAAACGCAAATGATAGAAAATTGTGGAGAGCCATAATCCTGGGCGGACACGACTTATAAAGAGAGAGAATAATTTGAATTTTTTTTTAACGCTGTTGAAAAGACAATCTTTCTCTTAGCGAACGATCATCGACAAGTTTTGTTTTTCTTAAAAAATATCGAGAGACATTTATCAAAAAGTATATTGTCTTTCTATAATGCTGTACAACAGTTTTCTTTTTATGTGCCTTATCCATTCAAGACGTAGGCGATCATGGCTCTCCACCTCCCTCTATCCCTTGCAGGTCTCCACAAGTTCCTTTCCTCTGCTTTCTCCCCCTAGAACACGTTCTGTCATTCACTAGGTATGTCACACGTTGTTTTCCCTTGTCTCTCTTTCCCTCTATTCAACCCGTGAGTATCAGATTCTCCAGGCCCTCCTTCCTCATTATGTGTGTCAGAAATTTCAACTGCCTCTTCCTTATGTTAAGTATAAGCTTCTTCCTTGTTTGCATCCACTCTAAGACCTCATCGTTGCTCACATGCTCGATCCATGATATCCTCAGCATCCTTCAGTAGAACCACATCTCCACCGCTTCAAAATTTGCTGTCGTATAGGAGGACAGATGACACATAGCAGCTCAGCACTCTTTTCTTTGTCACCATAGAAATACTCCTGTTTCGCAGTACTCTGCCCAGTTTCTGGAAGGCATCCTTGGCCATCCCAGTCCGTCTTCGGATCTCAGCGTAGCATCTACCGTCATTCGTCAGAACACTTCCCAGATGCTTAAACTTCCGCACATGTTTGATTTAGCGTCCCTAACCTGCAAATCGCATTTTGGGACTCATCCTTTTACTGATGACCATGCATACTGTTTTCTTGCAGTTTATGATTAGTCTTTTCTTCTTGCTCTCCCTCGCTACCTTCTGTAGAAAGTTTTGTATTTTCTTTTCCGTGTCTGCTATCATGTCATCTGCATATATTGCGTAACATATTCTATATTCAATTTCCTAAAGTGTTTACTAATTCCACATAATAAATGGAAAGAAATTGTGGAGAGCCATGTCCCTATTCGTCCTGGAACATGTGTATGTCTATTTGAAAAAAAAAATCTTTTAATTGTAGAATAAGTTGGACGGTTGTTCTCGCCTTCCCAAATCGACGGGGTAGCCATCTTTGTTTTTATTGTACCTTCGCTTTCGCGTTGTTCGTGTCCATAAACTTTTACCTTGAATAAATAAATAAATAAACCTCTTGTCGCTTGACTGTGTCAACAACACATACAACCAGACAGAGCGTCTAAAAGTGCCCACCCTTGTCCAATACTTTATTTACCGGACTTCACTCCTAGCACGTTACTTGTAACGCGAGCTTTTTCAAATCTCTTCCCTGTAAAAGGTAATTTGATCTGTTCATACCATATTTCAATCCTTATTCGACCGCACGGCGCACGTGAAAACGGTTAATGAAACAGCTCACTGATGGCTTGATGGTTAGAGCTTCGACAATGACACACGGTTTTTATTCACATTTAAATGTTTTTCAATAAGTCACTATTTTGAGGCTATTTTTTCTTTTTTCGCTTTCGTCTTTTTTTTTTTTTAAGAGATTTATTTGACAGAAACAACCCCATCGTGACACTAAGAAAAATAACTGCTGTTGTATCTGGCTTCATTTTTAAGTTTTCTTCTCATTCAACGCGGACTTGATCTGAAACTTCATGTTATGGTGTAGAACCATAGAAAGATAACACGGACTTGGATATAAGGTTAAATACTATATTCTCTGAAACGTAGTACAAAAGGTAAATGTGGACTGGAGAGTACTTTCTCTCACCGGTGTCCTGACTCACTCACTCACTCACTCACTCACTCACTCACTCACTCACTCACTCACTCACTCGGTGACCCTCACTTGGTGACTCCCCTTTACTCAGAGTTGGTAGCCATATTATATAGGTGTGGAAGAGTCCATTTGTAGGTAGGTCCTCACAATACCCCCTCCCAAGCCTTTACTCGGTAAAAGGGTTTATTACTTACCAGAAATTTAATACCTATTCTTTTTGGGGTTGTTAAAGGCTCGGTAAATTTCCTCTTTCTCCCTGACCTTCGTTGTCCAGGCGTATGTTGCAGGGGCTTGAGGTCAAATGCGTCGTAAATGATCTCGATGGGTTCCTCCACTTCATCCTGCGTGCTGTTAGAATCTATTTCATGCCGTTTTTTTAATTTGATTAATATGTCTTTTATGGGTATGTCTTGGTCCTTGTATTATATACACCATCTCGCCGATCCTACTAATGATCGTGCCCTCCTCCCTGTACGACATATTGTTCTGAAAACTTTAAAAAATAATTTCTGACCTGGAAGAAATCGTTTCTTTTTTTTTTTGTCCTTTTTCGGTCTTACATATTTTTGACTGTTTGGGAATTAATTTGTCAAAAACGTATCTCATCCTCGTCGCCAGTTGTTATAGTGTAGAACTGTTATGGTCCGGTTCCTTGTACCACGGTGATAGTCCAAGGTAGAACCAATAAAGAAGAACTCGAATACGGATATGGAATAACACAGATATATTACAAACAGGAATATATACAGAGAAGTAGAAGGTGTTAGTACGAACAATCAGGTTTAGTAGTAATTGTCTGAACGCGACTCTGTTTCGGACTGCCTCTGACTCGACTGACTGACTCGCTCGCTCGCTCGCTCGCTCTGACTGACTGACAGACTCCTGACGGACTTCACTCCAGACTTCAGACTGAACGGTATTTAGTCCCCCCCACCACCACGAGGGCATCATGTGGCGCAAGGTCGGTTTAACGTGGGATCTCCAAGCCCGTGGGCTCGGCCAAAAATATGCCATTTGAACCCGTATAAACGGGTTCAGGGTCGGTTTACCTCCCCGAAAGAGACTCCGCCCTTCGGCGTAGCCTCGTTCGGGTTCTTCCCCGCCCGAAGGCAAAGAGTTCAACCGATCAGCCTATCAGCCGGTCGACCGACTTCGGACAGAACTGCCTGCTTCCTCTTGAGGCGCAGTATTTATTACGTATGGAATAGTCCATTATGTTATTATGGGTAAGGTCCCGTAACAAGATCCCTAGAAAGATAACACGGACTCGGATATAAGGTTAAAAAGTATATTCTCTGAAACGTAGTACAAAGGTAAATGTGTACTGGAGAGTATTTTCTCTCACTGGTATCCTGACTCACTCATTCACTCACTCACTCACTCACTCACTCACTCACTCACTCACTCGGTGACCCTCACTTGGTGACTCCCTTTACTCAGAGTTGGTAGCCATATTATATAGGTGTGGAAGAGTCCATTTGTAGGTAGGTCCCCACAATACTTCGTTCGTGCTATATATATATATAATCGGATTTACTTCAAGTAACGGAGTAAAACTACTATGACACAAAGGAGTTACTGAGTGTGAAAGACTTAGAAAGCAGAAACATTAAACAGAAACGAGACTAGGAGAGTGTTCAGGAAGACAGAAGATAACGCTTGACATCGCATTTAAATTTTTGAAGATTAAAGTTAAAAAGAAAGCATGGAATCTGAAGAGATTTGACAAGCGAGAAGTGCGAGAGAAGAAACTGTTAGCATAGAACTTGCGGTTTGATCTAGGCAATCTGAATTCAGCTGCAAAATGACCATGGAAGTCTTTAAAGAAAAGGCAGAGAGAAGTCATTGTAAGGCTGTGGGAAAATGACTGAAGCCGAGATGCCAGCTCAGAACAAATAATGTGGCTGATTCTTCTTATGGATTGGGGCAGCAATGGAGGAAATCTTGACGATATGTGGTGGACTTTTTAAGTCACTCTAGTGATCCCACCAGCTTAATCTAATATTGAAATTTCAACCACTATCTATCTATCTATCTATCTATCTATCTATCTATCTATCTATCTATCTAGTCTCTTCATATCTATCTCATTCTGTTTTTATCTATCTATCTATCTATCTATCATTCTTTTCTTATCTATCTATCTATCTGTCTTTTCATATCTATCTATCTATCTATCTATCTATCTATCTATCTATCTATCTCAGTCTTTTCATATCTGTCTATCTATCTATCTAGTTTCCTCATATTTATCTTATTCTGTTCTTATCTATCTAGTCTCTTCATATCTATCTCATTCTCTTCTTATCTATCTATCTATCTATCTATCTATCTATCTATCTATCTATCTATCTCTTTGCATATATATGTGTGTGTGTGTGTGTCCGTAATTTCGCGTGTGTGTACGTATGTGTTACGTTGAAGGTTTAAAATATCATATATAAACAAAATATATTTGTAAAAAGACAATATGAATAACGACAAAACAAGAAATTTTCTTTACCACCGCGTTTCGGTCTCTGATAAACTTTATTAACGTAAATGGAAAATGCTTTTATTTCGGAACGTGCATTTATAAACAGAAGTTTTTAAAAGAAAATAGCGTTAGGCTTCGAAAAATTGAAAATTTACGAATGCTCAAAAATATTCTTTATTTCAAAATTGCATTTACGCTCAGATCCCTCGTGTGAGTATATATATATATATATATATATATATATATATATATATAAGAAAGAGGTTATAGTGGTTCCAACGAGAAAAAAAAGGTGTATATTAAAAAGAAGATAAGAGAGGTGCCGCAAACGTTTTTGGTAAAAGACATTCGGATTACTAACACAAAACAGAAAATGTCTCATATCGAGAATATTTAACATTGAAAAACATAAGGAAAAAAATTAATTATTTTTTAATAATATGTGGAAATATTCGCCTTTTACCTGAAGACGGTTGTGAGGTGAGACCAGAAACACGTGTAGTAAAATTATGGAAAATAAAGCATAATATTTTTTTCTAAAAAATCCACATTACAACCAAAAACGTTTGCGGCACCTCACTTCTCTTCTTTATATATATATATATATATATTACAAATTAATTGATTTAAAATATGTTTTTTCCGCTACACAGTCCTAACCATGTTTCAAAAATAGAAGCTAAAAGCCCCGAGTTTAATTTTGCAATTAAATTAAAAGCATTAGTTCCATTTCATCTTCAAGCGAATTTTGGAGTAACTTTTAAAAATTACTCGGTTTTAAAGACACAGCTAAAATCACGTTTCCATGGTTACAGAATATTCTACTTCAAAATTCGCTTGAGGATGAAATAGAACTAAAGCTTTTAATTTAATTGCAAAATTAAATTCGTAGCTTTTAGCTTCCATTTTTGAAACATGGTTAGAATTGTGTAGCGAAAAAAAACATATTTTAAATCAATTAATTTATAATATTAATGCTCTGTAAATTTACATTGAGCACTATTTTGTAAAATAAGAATATCTATAAGAACACCGGATTTTATATCTTACTGTTCTTTTTTTTTTTATATATATATATATATATATATATATATATATATATATATATATATATATATATATATCTGTGTGTGTGTTTTATCACAAACGTTATTTTAATTAGGTACACATATTTGAATTCCTTTCCTTGTGATTTATCATCATTTTCTGAAAGAGTGAAATAGATAACACCCGGTCTAGTTTGAGAAGTTCAACTAGAGAAAGATAGTAACCCCAACGGAATCAAACTTCTATGCCCCTTTCCATCAAGAAAATAGTCTCTATATAAAATGAAACGTGCCTTTACTAATTCAGCCGCGGAGGCCGTCTTGATAGAGCATTTAATTATCTATTTAAGTTATACACATTTCTCGTTGGGACATCTACGAATTTATATCTGTGAGCTTCAGTTTCGTACCCTAAGTTTAAACAACAGCCATTTTTTTAAATGAATTTCCTATTTGCTTTTAATCGATATCGCCAGAAGCAAATCAGTAAAGCCTTTACAACGCAAGGGGTTAGAGGATGTGGAAGAATTAGAAACAGAAGCATTAGTAACGAGCAGAAAGAGAAATGAATAAACAGATGTTGGGGTGATTAAATAGCGATTCTCATTTCATTTAAATTTTAGCAGATTAAACTTGGCTGGAAATGCTATAAACCCCTATCAATACTTGAAAGAACGATAACAGCTACTGGACTTGAGGAATCTGTTTTTCTTGAAAGATTATTTTAAGAGAAACTTGAAGAGAAATAACTGAGACATCCGGAAGAGGCATGGAACGTGGAACTAGTCTACCCCGGTGGACGAAATAAATGGTTACGCTCCGGCCTTTTTCATGTGACTGGAAAATTCCAGTCACATGAAAAAGGCTGGAGCGTACAACGGCCGAAACGTTGCGAATGTGGCAATGATAATGAGGATAACAGTCCGAATAATGTAAATAATATAAGTAAAATGTTTTAAATTTGCATTCTTTATTGAAAATCACACTAAAATTACTGCACTGTGCAACATATTACTTCATAATATAGCTAAATTGTTGTTGTAGAGTAGTTTTCACGGTGGAGGCTTGTATTTCACTTAGTCGGTCCTAAATTAGGTTCGACGTACAAAAACGTTAGGAACTCGATTGAAATAGTAAGAGTTAATGACGCAACAATCTAGTTGTGGTGGTTGATAAATCAATGTCCGACATCGACTGACCAAGTTACTCAACTCCACTGAGCCCACCTCAAGCGACCGCTACTACTACTACTAACTATTTTCGATGATGTGTCGGAGGGTCTATTACAATAGAATAGGTTCCGGTATAAAAATTGTTGAAGTAAATAACGGTTTTATTTGATGATGCAATGATTTAGTAATATTGTGCTTGTGTCATACACTTTGTCCATATAAAATTTGTAAAGCTTCAGTCAATTATAAATTTTATAAAGCTAAGTTATAAGGCTTTCACTGATCACCGGAATTAAATTCCAAAGTTACGATTTGGAACCTAAACTTAACCTTTAAAATCATTTCCTCAAAAATTGACACCAATTTCAATTAATCACCAGTAGCAGAATATGTATTTTTTTACAGTATTCAATAAGTAAAAACGCAGTAAAAAAATTGGAAAAGATTGCAAAAAAGGTGACTCAATGGATAAGATCTTAAACCTTTTGTAAGATGAAAATAAAACTAAAAAATATATAAAAGTGTATCAGTCAACAATGTACCGTGCGCGATACACGCTTAGGCGGTCATGCATCTTTCGATACATGACTGACGAGGCAGATTTTTCCCGCAGTAGGTTACCATTTCTTTCTGCGGTAGACCGGTTGCCATTCAAGTCTATAGAAATCGGTCTGTCCTGCTATTTACCCATAGCTGGGGAGTCATACCTTTCCCAAGGAAAAGTATATACAACACCATAATACTGCTGGGCACAAATTATAAGACAAAATGTTTTAAATTTGCATTGTTTATTGAAAATTGCAATAAAGCTACCGTAGTGTACAATGTATTAAATGATAATATAGCTAAATTGTTCAGAATAATTTCCCTTTGAAGTAAATAAAGGTATTATTTGATGGCAAAATGATTTAGTAATATTATGCTTGTGCCTTGGAGCTTGTCCATATATATTTTGTAAAGCTTCAGTAAATTATAAATTTCATAAGGCATTGCTGATCACCGGAATAAAATTTCAATGCTATTTTTGTGAAATTAACCTTTAAACTCACTTCCTCAAAAAAAAAATGGCACTGATTTAGTACAAGATAATTGATCAAATTGAGTGCAATTGAGTGTTTTAAAAATTATTGACCTGCAAAAAATAATGTCAACTTTTTGGGACACCCTGTATATATATATATATATATATATATATATATATATATATATATATATATATATATATATATATATATATATATGGATAAACAAGGCCAACGTATCACAGAGCCACTACAACAGTTCTAAACATTATTTTATTTATTTATTTCATATACGACATAATCTATAATAATATTGATGATGCCTTCCAATGGCAAGTAATCCACGCGAATTTAATAATTAAAACCTATGCCGTTGTTAAAATGATAAAAGTATGAGTGACAAACACCAACATTGTACGGTATTAATTATTTAAATACGTAGCTCTATTAATTTATATTATTTTGCTAAACATTGGCTTAATTCTTTAAATACTTAATGCAGCATAATCTATCTTCGTATAAGAGGTGCCACCACAGAAAAAAAATGGAAACGTATTTTAAGCAATTTTGGGGGGACACGCTTTTTCAGACAATACTGATTGTTCTTGACACAAGGCCTACAAAATTAATTAATATTTCAGAAGCGTTTTATTCATTTCCTGTAACGGGCCTTATTTCATGTGCGTTATTTCATGTGTGGCAACCTAATATCTATCTGTCTATGTATCTATTTAAAAGAAAAAGCCAACACTCAATGACATCAAGTATGAACAACGATTGACCAACATGTAAAGACTAAATGTTTAGAGAAGAAGAATAAAACATTCCTATCACTCTAAAACATATAGCTACACATTCAATTAAAAATAAAAAGTAAAAACATCCTTGACAATGGCTAATAGAATAGTCGAAAGACAGCGATTGATATATATATATATATATATATATATATATATATATATATATATATATATATATATATATATTTAAAAATAAAAAGAAAGAACAGTAAGATATATAATCCGGTGTTCTTATAGATATTTTTTTGATTTTTACAAAATAGTGCTCCTCAAGCAATGTAAATTTACAGAGCATTAATATTATAAATTAATTGATTTAAAATATGTTTTTTTCCGCTACACAGTTCTAACCATGTTTCAAAAATGGAAGCTAAGAGCCACAATTTAATTTTGTAATTAAATTATTATTATTATATATATATATATATATATATATATATATATATATATATATATATATATATATATATATATATAAAACATTTGGACAATTTTACACGCTATATGTCCAGCAAAGAAAACACATGCACGAACAAGAAAAATTAAATAAATAGCTTATTCACATTACAGTACTTTTGTCTAAGATCTTCAATGAAATTGTATAAAAGAGATTAATGAAATTTAAATTTTATATATATATATATATATATATATATATATATATATATATATATATATATATATATATATATATATGTGTGTGTGTCCCGTGTATGTGTGAGTATAATGGAAGTATCACTCCCAATTGACTTATCTCATTTGAAAGACTATTGACCACTTAGCACTGACCGGAAGTGCTTAGGCTTCGTCTTAATTCACTTGGGACACTACAGGTTGGCCAAGATCCAGACCACTTGACCTTCAGTTAAGTTAAGCCTGTCCCTGGACGTTAGCTGACCACTCAAGCGCGTGTTCAACAAGCCGTGGCCGGGGACCCGATGACCGTCAAATGTCTTATCGTGTCACGCTGGAATGGTAATTCAGGCCAAGTGGAAAGCGACTGCTTCTGCACTCAAAGCCAAACCGTTCTTTAGGGAATCATAGAAAAAAAAGTGAATTTAACGATCGACAAGGCCTTACAGATTTTATAAATTGCCAACGATAACAACGCACAACATATTATGCTCGTCAGTAGGTTGACGGGATAATTGAAATATTCCAATTGATGTGGGCAAAATTTTCAGGATGGACTCGTATTCAGGAACGTCATCACTGTGATTTTTAAAATTTCGATATATTTTGAATCCCAATTAATTACTGGATCGAATTCATAAAATGTCTAAGAAAAGGTAGTAGGATATTATTTTCTTGTTTCAAACGTAAATTTACGAGCTGATACGGTTTTTTTTTTATAATCTTTCCTCAAGCAAGGCAATAAAGCTACTAGGATGTAAGGGGTTACTAAGTGTGAGAATATGAGAAAAAAATTATTAAGGAGCGAGAACAATAAAAGAAGATTAATCAAGAAGACAAGATAACGATTCCACAAGCGAAATTTAAGCGGGAACAATAGTAGAGTAATCAGGAAGACAGTAGATAACGATTGACATTGCATTTAAATATTTGAAGATCAAAGTTGAGTGGAAAGCAAGAAGCCGGAAAAGAGTTCACAAGCGAAAATTGAGCGGGAACAATAGTAGAGTAATCAGGAAGACAGTAGATAACGATTGACATTGCATTTAATTTTTTGAAGATCAAAGTTGACTGGAAAGCAAGAAGCCGGAAGAGAGTTCCACAAGCGAAAATTAAGCGGGAACAATACAAGAGTAATCAGGAAGACAGTAGATAACGATTGACATTGCATTTAAATTTTTGAAGATCAAAGTTGAGTGGAAAGCAAGAAGCCGGAAGAGAGTTCCTCAAGCGAAAATTGAGCGAGAACAATAGAAGAGTAATCAGGAAGACAGTAGATAACGATTGACATTGCATTTAAATTTTTGAAGATCAATGTTGAGTGGAAAGCAAGAAGCCGGAAGAGAGTTCCTCAAGCGAAAATTGAGCGAGAACAATAGAAGAGTAATCAGGAAGACAGTAGATAACGATTGACATTGCATTTAAATTTTTGAAGATCAAAGTTGAAAGCAAGGAAAGAGAGTTCCAGTCAAGAAAAATTGAGCGGAAGAGAGTTCCAGGAAGACAAGCGAAAATTGAAGCGAGGGAACAATAGAAATTGAGTAATCAGGAAGACAGTAGATAACGATTGACATTGCATTTAAATTTTTGAAGATCAAAGTTGAGTGGAAAGCAAGAAGCCGGAAGAGAGTTCCTCAAGCGGAAATTGAGCGAGAACAATAGAAGAGTAATCAGGAAGACAGTAGATAACGATTGACATTGACATTGCATTTAAATTTTTTGAAGATCAAAGTTTAAATTTTGAAGATCAAAATTTTTGAAGATCAAAGTGGAAAGCAAGAAGCCGGAAGAGAGTTCCACAAGCGAAAATTGAGCGAGAACAATAGAAGAGTAATCAGGAAGACAGTAGATAACGATTGCCATTATATTTAAATTTTTGAAGATCAAAATTGAGTGGAAAGCAAGAAGCCGGAAGAGAGTTCCACAAGCGAAAATTGAGCGAGAACAATAGAAGAGTAATCAGGAAGACAGTGGATAATGATTGTCATTGCATTTAAATTTTGGAAGATCAAAGTTGACTGGAAAGCAAGAAGCCGAAAGAGAGTTACACAAGCGAAAATTGAGCGAGAACAATAGAAGAGTAATCAGGAAGACAGTAGATAACGATTGGCATTGCATTTAAATTTTTGAAGATCAAAGTTGAGTGGAAAGCAAGAAGCCGGAAGAGAGTTCCACAAGCGAAAATTGAGCGAGAACAATAGAAGAGTAATCAGGAAGACAGTAGATAACGATTGGCATTGCATTTAAATTTTGAAGATCAAAGTTGAGTGGAAAGCAAGAAGCCGGAAGAGAGTTCCTCAAGCGAAAATTGAGCGAGAACAATAGAAGATCAAAGTTGTAATCAGGAAGACAGTAGATAACGATTGACATTGCATTTAAATTTTTTGAAGATCAAAGTTGAGTGGAAAGCAAAGAAGAGTTCCACAAGGAAAATTGAGAGAACAATTAATCAGGAAGACAGTAGAAACGATTGAGCGCATTTAAATTTTTGAAGATCAATAGAAGAAGAAAAGAGAGTTCAGGAAAATTGACAGAAAATAGATAATCAGGAAGACAGTAGATAACGATTGACATTGCATTTAAATTTTTTGAAGATCAAAGTTGAGTGGAAAGCAAGAAGCCGGAAGAGAGTTCCACAAGCGAAAATTGAGCGAGAACAATAGAAGAGTAATCAGGAAGACAGTAGATAACGATTGAAGAATTTTTGAAGATCAAAGTTGAGTGGAAAGAAAAAGAGAGTTTGAAGCGAAAATTGAGAGAACAATAGAAGAGTAATCAGGAAGACAGTAGATAACGATTGACATTGCATTTAAATTTTGAAGATCAAAGTTGAGTGGAAAGCAAGAAGCCGGAAGAGAGTTCCTCAAGCGAAATTGAGCGAGAACAATAGAAGAGTAATCAGGAAGACAGTAGATAACGATTGACATTGCATTTAAATTTTTGAAGATCAAAGTTGAGTGGAAAGCAAGAAGCCGGAAGAGAGTTCCACAAGCGAAAATTGAGCGAGAACAATAGAAGAGTAATCAGGAAGACAGTAGATAACGATTGACATTGCATTTAAATTTTGAAGATCAAAGTTGAGTGGAAAAAGAAGCAAGAAGCGAAAAATTGAGCGAGAAGAAGAGTTCAGGAAGACAGTAGATAACGAAAATTTAAATTTTTGAAGCAAAGAGAAAGCAATTCCTCAAGAAGAGTAAAGAGTAATCAGGAAGACAGTAGATAACGATTGACATTGCATTTAAATTTTTGAAGATCAAAGTTGAGTGGAAAGCAAGAAGCCGGAAGAGAGTTCCACAAGCGAAAATTGAGCGAGAACAATAGAAGAGTAATCAGGAAGACAGTAGATAACGATTGACATTGCATTTAAATTTTTGAAGATCAAAGTTGAGTGGAAAGCAAGAAGCCGGAAGAGAGTTCCACAAGCGAAAATTGAGCGAGAACAATAGAAGAGTAATCAGGAAGACAGTAGATAACGATTGACATTGCATTTAAATTTTTGAAGATCAAAGTTGAGTGGAAAGCAAGAAGCCGGAAGAGAGTTCCTCAAGCGAAAATTGAGCGAGAACAATAGAAGAGTAATCAGGAAGACAGTAGATAACGATTGACATTGCATTTAAATTTTTGAAGATCAAAGTTGAGTGGAAAGAAAGAAGCCGGAAGAGAGATTCCATTTAAATTTTTGAAGATCAAGCGAAAATTGAGCGAGAAACAATAGAAGAGTAATCAGGAAGACAGTAGATAACGATTGACATTGCATTTAAATTTTTGAAGATCAAAGTTGAGTGGAAAGCAAGAAGCCGGAAGAGAGTTCCACAAGCGAAAATTGAGCGAGAACAATAGAAGAGTAATCAGGAAGACAGTAGATAACGATTGACATTGCATTTAAATTTTTGAAGATCAAAGTTGAGTGGAAAGCAAGAAGCCGGAAGAGAGTTCCTCAAGCGAAAATTGAGCGAGAACAATAGAAGAGTAATCAGGAAGACAGTAGATAACGATTGACATTGCATTTAAATTTTTGAAGATCAAAGTTGAGTGGAAAGCAAGAAGCCGGAAGAGAGTTCCTCAAGCGAAAATTGAGCGAGAACAATAGAAGAGTAATCAGGAAGACAGTAGATAACGATTGACATTGCATTTAAATTTTTGAAGATCAAAGTTGAGTGGAAAGCAAGAAGCCGGAAGAGAGTTCCTCAAGCGAAAATTGAGCGAGAACAATAGAAGAGTAATCAGGAAGACAGTTTAAATTTTGAAGATAACGATTGAAGATTGCATTTAAATTTAATCAGGAAGACAGTCAAAGTTTTTTGAAGATCAAAGTTGAGAAAGCAAGAAGCCGGAAGAGAGTTCCTCAAGCGAAAATTGAGCGAGAACAATAGAAGAGTAATCAGGAAGACAGTAGATAACGATTGACATTGCATTTAAATTTTTTGAAGATCAAAGTTGAGTGGAAAGCAAGAAGCCGGAAGAGAGTTCCTCAAGCGGAAATTGAGCGAGAACAATAGAAGAGTAATCAGGAAGACAGTAGATAACGATTGACATTGCATTTAAATTTTTGAAGATCAATGTTGAGTGGAAAGCAAGAAGCCGGAAGAGAGTTCCACAAGCGAAAATTGAGCGAGAACAATAGAAGAGTAATCAGGAAGACAGTAGATAACGATTGACATTGCATTTAAATTTTTGAAGATCAAAGTTGAGTGGAAAGCAAGAAAGAGAGTTCCACAAGCGAAAATTGAGCGAGAACAATAGAAGAGTAATCAGGAAGAGTTCCTGACATTGCATTTAAATTTTGAAGATCAAAGTTGAAAGCAAGAAGCCGGAAGAAGAGTTCCTCAAGCGAAAATTGAGAAACAATAGAAGAGTAATCAGGAAGACAGTAGATAACGATTGACATTGCATTTAAATTTTGAAGATCAAAGTTGAGTGGAAAGCAAGAAGCCGGAAGAGAGTTCCACAAGCGAAAATTGAGCGAGAACAATAGAAGAGTAATCAGGAAGACAGTAGATAACGATTGGCATTGCATTTAAATTTTTGAAGATCAAAGTTGAGTGGAAAGCAAGAAGCCGGAAGAGAGTTCCACAAGCGAAAATTGAGCGAGAACAATAGAAGAGTAATCAGGAAGACAGTAGATAACGATTGGCATTGCATTTAAATTTTTGAAGATCAAAGTTGAGTGGAAAGCAAGAAGCCGGAAGAGAGTTCCACAAGCGAAAATTGAGCGAGAACAATAGAAGAGTAATCAGGAAGACAGTAGATAACGATTGACATTGCATTTAAATTTTTGAAGATCAAAGTTGAGTGGAAAGCAAGAAGCCGGAAGAGAGTTCCTCAAGCGAAAATTGAGCGAGAACAATAGAAGAGTAATCAGGAAGACAGTAGATAACGATTGACATTGCATTTAAATTTT